TCTCTCTCTCTCTCTCCCACCCACCTCTGCCTGTCACATCCTGAGCTGCTTTCCTTAGTCATGCCTTTCCACTATGTTGTTCTGCCTCATCTTGGGCCCAGAGCCATTGAGTCAGTGGCCCCATGGTCACTGACCAAACCACTGAAATCATGAACCAAAATAAACTTTTCCTCCTTTAAATTCTTCTTGTTAGGTCTTTTGGTCCAGTGATGCAAAGCTGACTAAAATGATGTCTATGTACCACATTTTCTTTATCTACTCATCTGTTGGTGGACACCTAAACTGGTTCCATAATTTGGCTATCATGAATTGCACTGCCATAAAGAAGAATGTATATACAGCTGTAGTATGCTGACTTTAATTCTTTTGTATAAAGTCTGAGGAGTGGTATAGCTGGGTCATATGGTGATTCCATTCCTAGTCTTTTGAGGAATCACTATACTGATTTTCATAGTGGTTGAACTAATTTGCAATTCCACCAACAATGTATAAGTGTTCCTTTTTCTCCACACCCATGCCAGCATTTATTATTATTTGTGTTATTGATGATTGTCCTCCTAACTGGAGTGAGAATACATCTCAGTCTAGGTTTGATTTTCATTTCCCTGATTGCTAAAGATGTTGGCCATTTGAAATTCTTCCTTCCTTCTCAAATGTCTATTTAGTTCTTTGGTCAATTTACTGATTTGATTTTTTGTTTTTTGGTGTTAAGGGTTTTGTTTTGTTTTGCTTTTAGTTCTTCATATATTCCAGATATTAATCCTCTGTTAGAAGAGTAGCTGGCAAATTTTCTCTCTGTCTGCAGGCTCTCTTCTTGTTATTAATTATGTCCTTTCCTATAAAGAAGGGTTAACATTGATATCATCTAATTTATTAATTATTGGTATTATTTCTTAAGCCATAAGAGTCTTGTTGAGATTTTTGTGTTGGATCTATGTGCCTGCATCTATGTGTTGGAGTGCTATCCCTAGGTAACAATTATAAAGTTTCTGATTTGATTTCTAGGTCTGTGATCTATTTTGACTTGACTTTCATGGGGTAAGAGATAGGGATCTACTTTTATTTTCTACATAAAAATATCCAGTTTTCCCAGCAGCATTTGTTAAGAGGGCTATCTTTTCTTCAACATGTGTTTTTGGTGCCTTTGTCAGGTATCAGAAAACTGTATCTATGTGGGTTTGTCTCTGTGTTTTCTAATCTGGTTCTTTGGTCTGTGTCTATTATGCCAGTGCCATGCAGTTTTTGTTACTAGAGCTCTGTAGCATACATTGAAATGGGTACTCTGATAAACCCAGTATTATTACTTTTTTGTTTATGATTGCTTTGGATATTCTGAGTCTTTTTATTTTTCTGTATGAATTTTAGGACTGTTTTTTCCTAGCTCTATTAAAAAATGCCATTGGTATTTTGGTTGAGATCACCAAAATACCAATAGAGTTTTCACTTTGGATAATATTGTCATTTTAATGATATTAATTCTGACTATTCATGAACATGGATAGTCTTTCCATCTTCTAGGGTCTTTTTTTAATTTCTGTTTTCATTATTCTGTAATTTTTGTTTTAGAGGTCTTTCACTTCTTTTGTTAGATTTATTCCTAGGTTGTTATATTTTTCATTTTTTAAAGGTTATTGTAAACAGAATTGTTCTCCTGATTTCTTTTTTATTAGATTTGTTTTGAGTATAGAAAAGCTATTGATTTTTTTTTTTAATGTCGATTTCATTCCCTTACACTTCACTGAATTTGTTATCATCTCTAGAAGTCTTCTGGTGGAGCATTTTGGATCTTCTAAGAATAGGACTATATCGTCCCATTGCAATTATTTCTTTAGGTGTCTTCAAATTTCTTTACCTTTGGCAGTGGGAGACTCTTTAAGTTGATTCCTGAGTACTTTTCATATAATCCTTATGATCACTGGTTGTGATCTTACCTTATATTATAATGATATTTCAATTCATCATATACATTTAAAGTCCTAGGACTRGAACTGGTCATCTTTCTAAGATACCTGCTTTACATTATCAGTAAATTATATTTAGAGTATATCAAATGGATATACATTGCCAGTAGATTGGTTAATTTAAGAATTTTTCTTCCAAAGGAAAAAAAAATCCTGAATACCTGATAATACAGTGTATTTGTGGTTCATATTTCTTTGTAATTTGGTTAAAGGATTGAATGAGTACAAATACATCCTTTACATTTTATGCTGAGATATGATAGAAAGATAACTAGTTTAAGTTTCAAAAGAAAAGATTCAAGAACTGGGTACTCCTGTATGATATTATGTAGGTGATTCCACTCATCTTGAGTCATATGTAATTTTTTATATTTCCAAATAAAGATAATATCACAGCTTTGATGAGGACCAATATTCAAAGCACTTGATAATACCTAACATTTGAAATAGGGTTTTTTATGTGTTGATTTTTATACTGTTTCCTAGTTTATGTCATTAAACATGCATAAAAAGACAAAAGATATCTATCTATATCTATATCTATATATATATATATATATATATATATATAGATAGATAGATAGATATATATAGATATATATATATTTTAAAAAAACAAAAGGAGTGGAGAGACTGAGTGAATACCTTGTTGTTTCCATAAAGGGAAGTTAGAATGCTCTTAAGAAGCTAAGGTCATGAAGCAGCCTTAAAGGTGGGTTTCCTATCCAGAAGCAGTGAACCACATTAAATCCACAGAGAACCTACAGCTGAAAGATCCAGAAATGGATTGAACATAACCAGTAGGAGTGGCCTAAATTAAGAAAAATTAAAATGCATTAAATTCATAGTTGAAACCAAACAAATGTTTTGGATTTAATYACATGACAAGGAATACAAAGTTATAATGGAAGGAAAACTTAGCAACTGGGATTCCAGATTGGGCTCTGTACTAGTTGCCTGAGTTTGCCATGTGACTTATTCTCTCCAAGTCTGAACTTTTCACAGGCTAGTTAGACTGATTTTGTAGTTTATGTGCTAGAATAGGAGTAAAACAGTAATGCTTAAGAATGACAATAACTCACTATTGATGTGCAGTACAGGGAATTCTTTTAAAATCATTGTACATTTATAGATTCCACTGATTCAGGTTTCTGCATTGATTGCTCCACTTATCAATGCTTCCTAAACACTGAATATGTGCCAGGCAGCCAAACAATAGCAAATAGTGTTCTAGCAGTGGACACAATGAAGCTCACTTTCCTAGTTTACATTCTAGTGAGCAAAAACAGAAAATATTTCATAAGTTTGTTTTGTTTTGTCTTGTTTTGCTACCAGAGATTAAACCCAGGTGCTCAACCACTAGGCCACATTTTTAAATTTTATTTTGAGATAGAGTCTTGCTGAGGTGCTTAGGGCCTCACTAAGATGCTGAGGCTGGCTTTGAACTGGCAATCCTCCTGCCTCTGCCTCCCCAGCCACTGGGATTACAGGCATGCACCACCACGCCAGGCCTAGCAAAAACAGAAAATAAACACATACGTAATATATTCTGTGTCAGATGGCAATAGTGCAATGGACCAAAAAACAAGCAAAGGGAAATTGATGGTGAAGGGAAATACTCCAGTCCTGGTGGCCTCAGTGRTCTTTCTTGAATACACCAGGCCCATACCAAATTTGCACAGGCTGTCTCATCTCCCAGAAACATCCTTCCCCCAAGTATCCTCTGGGCTAACTTTCTCCTTGATGAGGACCAACACGTGGGAATTCCACCCACTGCCACTTTGCTCTCTGCTGTATTTTCTTTCTCATAGATCGCACCCCCTTCTAACATAGGATATAAATCACTTACCTGTGTAATTAATGTCAGTCTGACTCAGCTAGAATGTAAGTTAAAAGCAGGCAAGGACCCTTGTCTGTTTTATCCAAGGATGTATGCCAAAGCCTAGAAAATGGCTATGCTCAATAAATTGATTAGTGAAGAAATTGGTGAATTAATGAATAAGTGATGTAGGAGTGACCTGGAAAGTCTTTTCTCATGAGGTGACTAGTGAAATCTCAAAAAGTTTATCTTCCCATTAGATTCTCTTCAGGAAAGGAAATCCTGAAGACATTGAGGGTGTCTCCCACAAGCACAACACAAATCACAAGTGATTATAAACAGAACACAGAATCAGAAACAGGAAATTGTTCAAGACTCTGTTTTATTCTGAGCTTTTCCATTACTTTGTCAATCAAGAGATCCTTGTGAATCAGCAACATGTACTAACAGCTAAAAGTCCAAGCATGCAAGGGATGTATTATTGCATTCACTCTTCAGAAAAACTTACCAAGGTAGGAATTATATTTCCAAATTTCAGATAAAAAAAATGGGAACATAAATAACTTTCCCGAAATCATATAACCAGATAGGTAGTGAAGCCATGATTCCAATTAGATTCAAAAAGACTCTAAATCCCCTACTCCRAACTCATATATATTGGGAGATGAAAGCATGCCAAGAAAAAGTATTTTAATATTTTCACATACCTTCATTTCAACAGCACTTCTGGGTCCCTTAAATGTCATTTATTAAATCTCTTTTTAATAATGATTTTTGCTTGAAAAAGTTACCAAATGCATTTTTATTCACACAGCTTCGACTTTTGAATCTATAGCATCACCAGTCTAGGCAAGCAAGAATATTTTTCCAAAGTCTTTCACAGTATTCTGACTGTMAGGATCTGTGAGAGAAGGACTCCCATGAGGGAGAGAGGCACCAGATTGAATAGATAACCTTTGCAATGAGCTGAGGGCAACTCCCCTTGCCTCAGTTCCCACCTTCCCAGGAGAATCCATCTCAAGAGTGATTCTGTAACTCCATAAGTCTAGGTGGGAAGCAGAAGCCTAGGGTGGACTGGAGGCTGGAATGGAAATTCTGCATTTGATCTTCTTTGATGGATCAGTTGACTAGGTCATGCCTTGAGGTGGTGACCCCTGAGTTGAATCAGATGATTACTTAGTGATCTATCCTTAAATAAATTGCTAGCTAGAAAAACAGTCTTTGAAATCAATAATTTAATATTTATATGCATGCTTTCATGTACATACATTCATGAAAAGTCTAGAATATATTAGCTTTAATTTAAATACGATTTAAGTATTAAGGAGAGGAGGGCACCGATTTGTACTCTTGGATCTGGTTTCCAACTAAATCAGGCACAAATAAAATAATATGTTTCTATTTTTCTTAAGGGACATACATAATGTCTGCTTAAAATAGCTCTTAAAGGAAATTATGAAAGAAAAAAATTGTCATCGGTTTCATTTCTTCCCTAAGGGTTTACTCTAGAGGCCACACAATTCCCCTTAAGCTCAATTACTTCACAGCTGAATGCTTTGATAACCTGCTAAAAGGAGTAAACATAGTGTTATTAGCCAGCCAGGAAAAGGGGAAACCCCAGAGCAGCCATCAGCCTCCTTCATTTCTCTGCAATCAGCCCCTTTGTATCCCTGATAACAATGACAGGAAAATTTCTCTGCCAGCACTGTCAGGTCCGTATCAGATGCTTTTCCCTTCACAGTAAATTCCCCATCCTCAGAGGCCTCTATGTGGTAACTTGCAGGGTTCAAGTGGAGGTAATCSGGAGCTTTCCATGTCTTCCTTATACACCTCCCGTTACTCCTGCAGAGGTGAAGGCTGCACACTTCGGCYGCTCTGGTCACGTTGACTATGTAGCTCCCTAAATCAGAACTCACAAACTGCTTCACCTTTGTACAGTTGCCCTGGGAATGTAGAAACAAATGGATTTTAGTGTGTCTCCCAATACTGATAGGATTAGAGCGTTGAGACCCACAAGGCACCTCTGTGGACTTGACCTGGTGGCATGGTTCCAGCTGGTGAACTCCTAGGCTCCTGGGCACTGGGGGCTCAGATCAGAAAGGGGATAGGTTTAAGGGACAGAAGATGAAGAATATGCTCTAGTTGAGCAAAGCAACTGAACTTGAAAATGGACCCCAGAGTACAAGGGGATCTTGCCTTCCTCCAATTAACACCCTTTTTYTCTCCTTCTAGCTCCCAAGTTAATGGCTGCCAAAAGAAAAGGAACAAACCCAAATTAGAAATCATACCCAGCTGCTGTCTTCAGGTATGTGGTTCCTTTCTATGTGATTGAGATTCTAAACTCCATCACTAGAGCTCCGCTGAATTATTGTAGAACATTCTGGATTTTCCTGTTAATTAAGCTTTGGCATTGATTGTTCTGGGTTCTATGCTTCTATGCACAATTCAAACACAGGAGTGCCTGTGAGACTGCCTAGGTAATTCGTRTGCCTGTGGTTCCTATTATGTGTTCTAAACAGAGGCCACCTGAGTGGTGCACACAATTTCCTGATGAAGCCCTTCTCAGGAGCCACATGGGGGCTGGAGTGGAAGTATCAAGCCAGAAAAGTCAGGAATTSAGCATTCAGTTTGTATCTAATTCTCATGGAGGGACACAGTTATAAACAGTTTCATSTACCATGTCTCACTAGCAACAAATTTAGCCAGTAAAATTCTAAGAATAATATCAGATCATCATGAAATTGCAAAAAAAAATCAATTAGTATTATAATTCTAGGCAACATGTATTATTCTATAGAGATATAAACAAACAAYATCTGGAAATACAGAAGAGATTGCAATTAATGGGGATTAGGGAAACCTAGAAAGATTTCTTGGAGTAAATAGTATCTCACCTGGGAGAAATTTGAGAAGACATTTATATCTTATTTTAAGTACTATTAATTTTCAGCTGATTTCACTATAGAGAAAAAATAACTTCAATGTGGAGATTTAAAAGTTACCATCTGTTTCAACATCCCAAAATAGGATAGTGTTTCATGTGGCTAAAAGCAAGGCCTCCAGCATCAAACYAACTGCAATTAATGTCAGCCCCACCACTAATTAGTCTAACTAGCTGTTAACTAGTTCAGTTTTCTCTCACCTTCTCATCTATAAAGGAAGATGATATGCAGTGCCTCAGGTGACCAGTAAGTGGGCAAACCCCAAACCAAWCAAAACACAAATCCCTTAGTTATACCCTTAGAATATAGCAAATATTCAACAAATGTCAGTGYCATGATTACTATCTTTACAAAAGCTAATAATATTTACTGAGCCCTAATTATGTACCAGATACTAATTTGGACTTTTATTCTAAAACAGGTTTATCCTGGGGATCATAAGAGCTTTGGTCAGAACAAGCTCTATARGAAAACAGAACAAATTCTTAATATATACCCTCAAGGTACTTACTTACCTCAGATGAGGTTAAATTCATGTCTCCCCAAATCACAATGCCTGCAGCTCCCAAGGCAGCACTTTCTCCTATGGTACTAATTAGATCTTGCTAGATTGAAGAGAGTAGAGTTCATTATTAATTTGAATGTAAAGCAACCCATCAGGGATGAGGATTAGAAGCTGTGATCAATATAACAGAGCTGGGACTGAACCCATAAACTCTGTAGAAAGTATTCTTCACATTTGTTGAGTAACACAAATGTGGAATGAACCACATTCAAAATCACTAAAAGGAATAAACATAGTGTTATTAGCTATAATCACACATGCTCAAAATCATACTCTATAATCATATGAAACAGCATATAAACATTTTTTAAAACATTTTTGTAGCAGGATATTATTTTGTGGATATTTAGACTGTAAATAGTCATCAAGAGTTGTTTATTTGAAGTTGATTAGGGACATATACCCACAAACTAGCTATATGTATATGATACAGAGTCCAAAGTTTTCCTTCTTTGAATATAATTCTSTTAGCAAGTTCTGTTCTCCATTTTKCCCCTGTGGAAATTTACCTCCATAGTGACTCAGATGGATTTAAATCTCAATTCTAAAAACAGAGAAAGGAACAGTGTTAAGGATCCTGGATTTTGATTTTGTCCATCCTTTGCATCTGGGCCCTGAAATTATCTATGTTTAATTTCAAAGTATTTGACTTATTGGGCTTGATTTATGACTCATGTAGCAATGGCAGTCACCAGGATTTTTCCAAGTATATTTAAGAGAGATAAAAACAAMATTTTAGCAAGAGAAATGTTGATTTTTGTCATCTTGAAAGATTATTGTTTAAGTGGATCTAGAGTATTTGAGGAGGTGGGATAAAAGAATTGAATATATGTAGTAGTTTTCTTACTTTATTAAATTATAATACATTCTCCTATTCTTTAGAATACCAAACATTGATCTTTTACTCCAAAGATGAATTTCCACTGATTAAATGATAGAAAATGGTCATTTGGTGGAAAACAAAAACAAAACCTTTAAATTTTATTTTGCTTTGACCAGTCTATTATGATACCAATACTTGAGAGATGATTCTCCCTGACATTTCACAGCCTCCCCATCAGATGGAAAGTTTTCCATTGTTGGTCTTTTAACTTTGTTTTTCTGGAAAGTGTTTTGATCATTTTCAAAAGGGAAGAAATTTTGCTTTAAACTAATTTGCAGGGCCCGTGTCATCTGCTTGGTTCTAGCAGAACTTCTTACTCACACAGAAACATCCCTGAGCATGCAGGGTGATAATCACATGGTGTGATCAGAGGGGCAGATGTTTCCACAGCCTTCCTTCACGTAAAAGCACTGTCGTCAAACATTTTGTATTTATAGGTTATTGATCCATATGGAAATGATGGCTGTGTGTGGTGACAGCCATGCCATCTGAGTTGATGTTGGTTTCTTTCAATGTGTCCTTCGGGAGGGTCATTATCAGAAACAGTTTATTGAGACTGATTACAAATAGCAAYGTGTTCAAGCACACATTGACCAAGATAAGCAGAAGACAGCAGATATTACTGAGAATTTCTTACCAAATTATTGCACTGTCAYTGGCAGAGAGCAGGATGCTAAATAAATCACAGAGCAGCTGTGCTYTGAAGTCAGTAAAGCAAGAGCACTACCCTGCTAGGAAAGTCACAGAAAAAAAAAATGCCTTTGGAGGGACCACCTAAGTGCATGAGCTATACTATGTTGTCACATGAAAGGAGAAGTAAAAGAACAAAACCCAGGTAGTCAAAATGAACCTCCTGGGTCCCAGTGTGGCACAGGGCTGCCTTGCCCCTCCCCTTGATTCTTGGGCTCAAATCAAAGCTTCAGAAATGTAAGGTAGGGACACCCAGAGGACTCCAGAGGGTTTCAGTCTCTGAAGCTTACCAGAATGCATGTAAGTAAGTGCCCACTGTGGGGAGCTGGAGCCTTACTAATGAGTTCCCATTAACAAAGAAACACTAATTAATTTCAGGGATAATCATCTTTAAACCTATAGCCAAAKAAATTCCTGTCACTATTTTTGTAAACTGCACCATCAGTTAATATAAAGGTTGCATTTATTTTTAGGTAGAGCAGGTAAACTTCTGCGGGAAACAAGGTGATACTGTTATTCCCTCAAGCTGTTCCCTCAGATATCCCATGGTTAAGTTTAAGGCTTTGATGCCTGTTAAAAAATGATATGTATTTCTGTAGTGCTTCAATTTTCCATATACTCTTTTGCATTTGATTTCCATTGCACTTATGCTAGGCAAATAGGGTAGGAGATACTGTCCTGTTTTTGACATTAAGACACTGAGGCACTGAGGTTCAGAAAGATGAAGAGATTTGCTACTTACTGGTAAATCCTGTTTCTAACCTTACCTGTATGTGTGTGTGTGWGTGTGTGTGTGTGTGTGTGTGTGTGTGTGTGTGTGTTCTAAAAAGCCCACATCTATAGGAAAGTCAGAAATGGGAGCACTTAATGGTCATTTGGGGTTTGATACAAATGAATTTCAGATTTTTAAAATTTTGTGGGCAGATTTTTATGGTGGCTAGAGTACAAAGGTGGGTATGCTTATGGTTTAAAATACTTGGAAAATAGCCTGCCTTTCAGAACAGAAGAGAGTGCAGAATGAGATGAGACCCAAACTGCTATTTCTTCTTTCCTGTGAAAGAAAGCAGCAGCATTTCTGAAGTTATTGCTACTAAAGAAAGAAGTTTACCTAAGGCTGGCAGAATGTGCAGAATGTACAAGTAGTCTAAACTATGTTTTTGAAAGGAACACTTTGTACTTTAATGTTTATTGTTTCTTCCAAAAGTAAATTTATTATCACTAAAGAAAGGAACTTGCTGGAACTAAACATTGAAAAGCTTCACAGAAGATTCTATTGAGCTTTCAATGCTAGAGTCAAGATTACTTTCTAAAAATTGAGATAACTTTTTTAAACCTTTCAAACAGGACTAAACTCTTATCATTCTTTTTATTTTTTTTTAATTTTTTTGATACCAGGGATTGAACCCAGGGGTGATTTACAGCTTTACCACTGAGCCACATCCCTAGCCCTTTTTTATATTTTATTTAAAGACAGGGTCTCACTGAGTTGCTTAGGCCCTCAATAAGTTACTGAGGCTGGCTTTGAACTCTCAATCCTCCTGCCTCAGCTTCCTGAGCTTCTGGGTAGCATGAATATTAGTTCACAATGGAAACATTTTCTTTCCTCATTTCATGAGTAGTGCCAGAGGCATAGCATTTTTTTTCATATTTCACACCTATGCACCATTTCTCCTTCTGATGAATATAGTTTACTGATATATACTCCACAGATAACCACAGGTCAGGGTCAAGCCCACACAGGGTGTTTCCTGAGCCTCCTCCTTAGGATGCCTAACACCGAGGAGATGTTTATATTTTAACACAGGCCAGTAAGCTGGAATTTTTAATACTGGAGAAAAAAAGAAGTGCCTCTGGTAAGATATATCAAAACATCACTGCATCACAAATTGGCAGTCCTGAACAAGTCCCAAGTTTTTTCAATGTGGAATGTTTGCACATAATTATTCAAATCCAAAGATAAGAAATTTCACTACTTTTCCTAGATGTTTCTGTTTAAATAACTGGAGTTGTAAGGGGATAGAAAGTCTGGGCAAAAGTCTACCTGTTTTAAACATTACCCCCATGGTATGTATGGGAAACAGAATAAAACTTCTGTTAAGTTTTAACTGAGGTTTCTAAATTCAATATTTAAATCTACTAGTGATTTAAATATTGAATTTAGAAACCCACGCACTCTACCAACTTTCTATTAGTTGTGGTTTTAAAGGCAACARTAACCCAGATGGCTAAATCTGTAGACTCCCCTACATTTAGCAGATCTGCAATTCCTTCATACCTTTTTAAAATTAAAGAAGCAATTAAATTGTGATAGAAATTCATAACCTGACATTTACTATTAGTCACTTAAAATGTACAGTTTAGAAGCATTAAATACATTGACGTTGTTGTCCCTCCCTTATACCTTTTATTAAAGCTGGTATTATGCCTTTAAAAGAAAATGCTTTTTTCTTCTCTTGATATTTGCAATGATGAGGACAGAAGCAGGAATGTCTTTCATTCCACTTGTACGTGCATGAGCAAACTCCTCCACTTTAAAACACCCTCTCCAATTTTCAGAACTATTCTCCACCAACCATCTCAGTAATTTTTGGAGTACAATCAAAGCCAGCTCTCAGGAAGCATAGCAGCTTCCTGCCATACTAAATACACTAAAAGAATAATAATAGATAAGATCATCAAAATTCAGCTTGCATAAATGAAAAGTCCAAGTGAGTCAATAGACCAGGAAGAATGATGCTCTTACAGCCCATTAGTGAGGTGTTCTCATAATTATTAAAGAAATGTTTCTTTTAAAGATGAGGAGAAAATTCCCTACCATTGGGCAAGGAATTTCTTACCTTAGAAAGAAAAAACAAAGGTTCATCTCTGTACCCCAGTCTCGTGTAGACAAATACAGGCAGAGCATAATCATGGGATGTCATGGTGGAGACCCTCATGGATTCGTGCACTCGAAATTGTGAGAAGCGCAAAATATTTCCATTGTCTCCAAAGGATTTCCTGACACCAATAGAAGGATATAAAGCAGCACTGCTATTCCAAAGCCAGGAGAGTTCATTGTTCCTCAGGACTTCCTCTTCTGGGCATGACCCGGTGTAGTTTGGGGCATAAACATTATAATTGTGGCAGTCGGGATATAAGTAATAACCCCAAAGGCCCTTGGGTCGACTCTTAATTCCCAATTTGATGGTTTCCTTCATGAAAGCTTTTGCACTCTCTTCAAAGGTCACTTTGGCTAAATATTCAATATCAGTAGCTGATACATTCCCTTGTGTATCAGAAACAAGCTTTCTTGATTTCTGTCTGTAGACATCTTTTGTGTTCCAGTTTCGGTCCCACTGGGGTCGCCAATATTCCCAGTCTATAACAGCAAGTCCACTGAAGTCTTCAGCTGGGATGTAATAATTAATGTCTTGGTCAGCTTTTTCCAGATGCACTTGCAAGCTTATGTTCTGAGGGAGACCCCCGTTAATGGGGACTCCCTGTGATGTATACCATGGATAATATCCCAATCTGTTGACATAAAATATGGTGACATTTTGACCCCTGGCCTTGGCCAGTGGGCTTCCGATCACCTGAAACATTTTCAAATTCAGTCTTAAATTATACTTTATCAAACACTGATCTGTTGGAGCATTCCAAGCAGCTATAAAAGGTTTCCTTTGATAAATTGGGAGTCGGGCAGGTTTTAGAGAAGAGATAGACTTCAGAATAAAAAATATGAGTACCCATGTTGTCAGATGTATTGACTGAACAACACAAAGCCTTAATTGTCCTTCAAATAATAGTTTCATGTTAAGATAAACACTTATGCTATCTTCTGCTTTAATGTACTCCAGAAGGCCTGTGGAGAGATTTAATTTTCTGTAGTGATTATTTTGATAAAAAGACTCAAATAATGAACTCACATTATTATTATATTTTTATATTTTTTAAAGCACACTTTTATTTAAGGCGTTTTATATATTTTATTAATACATTATACATAATGGTGGGATTCTTTGTTACATATTCATACATGTATACAATATAACAAAATAATTTGGCCAATATCATTCCCCAGAATAAAAGTCTTGAAGATAACCATAAATAAATTCAAATATAGAAACTAATATAGTGACCAGGCTTCTGTTCAGCAACAAACAATGCAATTTAACAAACATTCATGAAGCAGCAGACACTGTAGTTTAAAAAAAAATGGATGAGATGTATCTCTTGCCTTCCAGGAAGTCATGACCCCCAAAAAATGTAAAATAATATTTTACATCATTTTGGAAAGCCCACAGAATCTCAGGCACTGGGCTTAAGTGCTTCACAAATAGTATCTCATTAAGTCTTGTAACAACTATGTAAGGTTTATAATTGCATTTGCATGTTACAAATGAGGAATTGAAGCCTGGGAAGTTGAAAATGCTTGACTAATAATCACATCGCATGAAAGATAAGGCAATGAAAAATTGTAATATTTGAACAAGTAGAACATGTTATTGTTAATTTGTTAGAGCAAGTACTTCACCCTGGGGATAGGGAGCAGATAGGAAGAAAGACAAGAAATGCTCCAGAGACGTTAAACTCAATGTAAATGGACATGAGAGGCAGCACCTTGGATGGTAAGAGAGGGGAAGAAGAGCAACTGTCTTCTCAAGTTTCCTTCTTAGTTATCTGTTTATAAAACAACTACATAAGGATTATTTTTTAAAGAACTCATCAAAGTGTTGAACAACAAAAACTTTGCATTCTTCTACAAAAAAAAAAAAAAAAGGATGAAAATGCATTGTGGTTATGCCTAGCACAGAGATATCAGGGTTGATAGTAGACATGTGTCCTTTGACTAAATGCTAAGGACATGGAGTCTCTTCCTCTGTAGTGAATTCTGCATTGAGCCTGTGTCAGTGGGTGGCAGAGGCCAGATTTCACTAAGTAAGTCAAGATGTCCAAATGTTTTGCTAGCCTTCCTTTCAGCTGAAGGGATGAGGTGGACATCAGCCTGGCCAATTAGATGTATCCTATTCTAGATTTTAGATTGGAATGTTGGGATTCAAAGAGGTGTTGCTGCTAGTGGTGAAAGAAATTCCAGTGTCCAGAATCAGCTAGCCTGGGAGACACTCAGAACCTGATGTACATAGTTACTGTTAAGTGACATCATTGTCCTCACGGGACAGCAATTTACTGTTAAAGCAGCTGGGCTGTTTTGATTGCTTACAACCAGGAACTCTGCTTGAACCCTGGAAGCTTTGGTTTCTGACTGTTTCCTCCAACAAAAGACCTGTGCCTGTGTTGTATGTAATTATCATTTCTAACCACAAGGGGTCAGCAGCCAAACTTCACAGTATTTCTCAGGCCTAGGACACTGATGAGGTGAACCAAAATTGTAACTTATGAAACTATTATAAGACATTTAAGAAGTTATGAGTGAACTGATATATACAAAATACCATTTTTAAGGACTTTAGAAATATAAATTTTTATTCATTGAATAGATGTCTATATTCCTCTATAATGCAAAGATCAATAAGATTACCTAATTTACTAATGTGAAATATACCATTTTGAAGGTCCAAATTATGGTTTGAAGGAAACATGTTTTTTAAAGAGAGAAAGAAGAGAGAGAATTTTTTAATATTTATTTTTTAGCTTTCGGTGGGCACAATATCTTTATTTTATTTTTTATGTGGTGCTGAGGATCGAACCCACCACCCCACACATGCCAGGAGAGCGCGTTCCTGCTTGAGCCACATCCCCAGCCCAGAAGGAAACTTGTTTTTAAAAGAATCTAATTTTATGACTCTAAAAATCACTGTGGCATTCAAAGCTATCTACTCTCTTTGATTTTTTTTTTAATTCTACTTTAGGGCAAAAAAAATGGATCTGCAAATAGGTTCATTAATGAGAGAGGTACTTTTCTTTAAACTTCATATTTGGGTCTCTTTAAGAAGACTATATATGTGTACAACAAATATCTATTCTTCCCAAACTGCTTTTGTTTTTTTTTACTGCCTTCTGCTTTCATAGTTAGCCAAAACAAAGCTTGCCACTGACTCTTTTTTGCCCCTCATCTTTGCCACAGAACATCTATAAACTTTTATTACAAAATTACAAGAGTCTCTTTGTATATCCTGGAATATTCTTCTTCTTCTTAATCCTTTTCAACAGGGGTGCAAATTACAGGAACAATGGYAGGCATAGCTCCTGATAAAATGAATACAGGCAAATTTAAATAAGTAAGCTCTTCTGATTGTGATGTCTCAGATTTCTGGTGCACCCTGTTACCATCCCAACGAAGCATAGCTTGCTGGGACATGGTCCCTCCTATGGGTACCTCCTAGACACTTGCTTCAGCCCCCTGTCTCCACCAGCAGTCAAACTCTCTGCTTCTCTATCCCCCTTCCTTTACCAGGGAACCTCCCCACACCACACCCTTTGCTTCAGAATTCCTCAAGACCCTTCTCCACACCCCACCCATGCCATCACAGTCCAGTTGGTGTAGCATGGTGTAGCCGGCCTCATTGCCCACACTGCCTTTGCTTTCTCACAACCTCCTCAAATCATCCCAGGAAGGTTTGCTCCTTTAAGCAAATCTCTAATTGGTAGAACCGAGCAGGGGCTGGCAAGACACTGAGGTCAGGGATGAGTGGGACGTCTAATCCTCACTTGTCCCCTAAATTTCATCACTCATATTTCTCTTCTTAGGAGGAAGGTTTGTTAGGGAACCTACATGAAGAACCAGTTCCCTTCCTTCCATAGGGAATCTTCGGTGAGGACCCTTTGGAGTCCCCTGGATAAATGATTGCCAGTGAAACCAACCTGGATGAAAGCCACAGGGTGAAGGGAAGGGAAGGAGCTTGCTCCAGACCCTCCCCTGAGAGAAGAGCCAGCCGAGAGGGGGACACATAGCTGTTGGCGCACCATCCTCTGCTTCCCAGCTCAGATCTTGCCCCACTGAGGGGGAAATGGGACACGGGAACAGGAAGATGGGACCTCACCTCATTACTGACACTGAAGGAAAGTGAAGAGGGTGGGCAAGGGGACCCCTGCGGGGAGACAAGCCTTCCATGTCCAAATTTAAGAGTCTGCAAAGAAGCCTTTCTCTCCTACTTATTCCTATTTCTTCTCTCCCCCCTTTCCTACACTTGCTTAGTGGCTCCCTATCAGACATAGACAACCTCACAGAAGACAAACTGAGGCAGATTCATTGTCACACCACAATAAAATAAAGCAACAAAAAAGGCCACCTTTTTAATTCTAAGCCCAGAATGAATGACAAATGAATGACTGCTGTTCTTTACTCAAACATCCAAATGCTTCTGCCTTCTGACAGCATTCTGTTCTCACACCCTCCCTCTTATTACCCAACCAAAACCTAAATCCTACAATAGGTTCTTTCCAACACCCTCTCACTGCAAATCCCAAGGTTCCTAGAGGTACCAGTGCATTCTCCCTTGATGCAACAAGCGATGAGCCCACTCATTTAGTGCAGGAGTACTCCTGCTGCTCTCTGGGGCACTGACACCTGAGTGGAGGCAGAGGCTCTTCCTATTCATTCATACATGAGTTCCGATTTTTTTTTTTCCAGTACTGGGGATTAAATTCAGGGCCTTAGACATGCTAAGCAAACAATATATCACCGAGCTAAATCCACGATCTATTTAAAAATTTTTATTTTGAGACAGAGTCTTGCTAAATTGCCAAGGCTGTCCTCGAACTTGCAGTCTTCCTGCCTCAGCCTCCTGCATAGCTGGAATTACAGGCATGTGCTACTGCATCTAGTGAGAAAATTTTTAATGAGCTAAAATGAGCCTGGTTTAGTGGACCGGGCTCACATTCTAAGCACTGGAAATACAATAGTGAACAAAACAGACAAGAGCCTCACAGAGCTTAAATTTTTGTGGGGAAGAGGGATAATAAACAAGATAAATAAATAAAATATACAGTACATGGGATGAGGGAAACAAAGGTTTAAGAGGTGTGAGCCTGGAGGATATCTGAGGAAACATGAGGCCCTGAGGAAGGAACATGCCTATCATGGTTTAGGGAGCTTAAAAGAGATTGGTTACTAAAGGAAGCCAGAGAGGTAAGAAAAAAAAAAAAATCCTGTTGGGACTTGGAGGAACTCTGGCTTTAAGTGAGATGGGAAAATTTTGGAGGACTTTGAAGGAGTGAGATGATCTCTCTTAGGCTTAACTGGATTCCTGGGGTGGCTGTGTTAGGCCAGGCTGAAAGGAAAAGGCACAAGAGAGAGGCYACAGGAAGAGTGTTAAGGAATAGATACCACAGAACAAGAACAAGAACAGCTCAAATGAGTTATTTAGAGCATCTTCCTATGTTTTTAAAAATCACTACACAGAAAAATTATATCATAAATCAGTACATCTCCTGCTAATTTTGTTTCAGTTTTGACCACAACCCTAAAACTCTCTTTTCATGCACACTGGGTAATGTTTTACATTCTTGAAGCATAGGCATCGATCTTTAAAGCAAAACTCTGGAAAAGCTTTGAAAAGCGCACAGCCCCACATCCCTAATGCCAACATATTATCAGAAAGAATTGATTTTCCAAATTTTCTGTTCCTCCATTTCTTTTTCATGATATTGGGATTCTGTTTTTAAAAACTGTAAGATGTCAAGTTGAAGGCACCTAAATCCATAAGGGTTTAAAGAGGTATACTGAAAGTCATGGTCCCTAAGGAATTCAATAAATGCAATCTTTTATTTCCAACCCTTCCGAGAAAGTACTGACCCAAATGATATTTTATTGTCAATAATACAAAATATGCTCATAAATATTTATCAGAATGGAAGGCAGACCAGAGTCACTGAGGTAAAAGCAGTATCCTCAATCCTGCC